CCTAATGAAACCCCTCCAGCGCAACTTGCCAGGTAAGACTGTGCACGCAAACAGGAGCCTGAGCTAACCTAATTGAACAGGATATTCTAACCTCTAATGAATTCATTATCGAAAATCTGACATGCACGCTTTGATTACCCATCTCCATCTTCGTGGCTTCGAAAAGCAAATTCTCGATTTCATCATCAGTTTGCTTGGATCCATTTAATGGAGCAAAGTATCGGATAAGACTTTAAGCTCCACCATTAAGTGGTCACAGGAATACTTCGGGGCATTTGGCCTATAACCCGCCCTTATAAAGGTTTCTTGTAAGTAACCTCTTAGGAAACGAAATATGAGCAGAAGAGATGAGATTCTATGATAAGGCTCGCAAACATATCCTTTCTATCGGACAGGACACATCTTGGTTCTCAGAGAAGGAGAAAATAGTCTAATCTAAAACAAAGAAATATCACTGGAGCTGGAGGGATAGTGGACAGTTGTCCCTGTCTCCCCCCTATGCTTATTGCAAAGGGACCCTACGCATACATTTAGGATTTCTTTCGTTTCATTATTGAGCAGGGGGTTGTAAAGTTTTTTTAGCAGCTATGTTATTGACAATTGTCTTTATCCTCAAGGACCGAAAACACATCCACGATGAAGCAGTAATAAAATTCAAATCTTTCTGTCATAAAAACCCGATCATTAATAAATTAAAGTGTTCTGTCCTGTTTTGCGTCAAGAAGCTCGGGGAGTTTCCGAGAAGCAGTTATTTTATAGAATTCAATATAGATTTGTGAATTTAGAACTAGTTAAAAACTGTTAGTTTTAAAGTTTATTGTAAACCAGAATTGTTGAAATCCAACAATTAACAAGTTTGCAATGAAGATAATGAGAAATGACATTTTTGCAATTCTCTTATTAATGGTCTGAAAGTTTAAAAACTATAGAAAAAATTTCATATAATTCTGATAAGCTAGCGAGTATTTAAATCGAAAGCAAACCAATTAAAAAGGAAATTCTATAAATCTCTATAACAATGATGATTCTATGAATCTTATACTTGTTAAAAGGCAAATAAATCGTTTCCAAATTTTGAAATACTACAAAAAAGGGTCCTATTCTATAAAGCTACTGAATAAAGAAAAAAATTTTGAAATAAAAAATCCTAGGAACATCTAAACAAAGTTAAAATTACGACTTATAATTTCAATTTTATTCTCCACATTTCATTATTCTCTATTTTACAATTATATACGATTTATGATATGATGGGAACGGAATACTTGATATAATATGGTCCCAAGGTTTCCAATCTTTGAAAAATCAAAACATAGGGAACGTAAACAAGATTGTGACTCTTTTATCCAAAAATCAAGTTTTAGTGGTACTCACTGACAGCAAAAAGCACTGTGTTTTCAAAAGATGACTACCGTAGGTAGGCTTTGGAAAAATATCTCGGGTCTTAGAATTACAAAAGGAAATGGTCTTAATGTAATCAAGTGGCGAGATGTATCTGAATACGCATGACTCATGTTTGGATGAAATCCATCCCAAAATCAATGTGACACTTACAAGCCACAGGGGATCAATACAATCAAGCCTAGTGTCGTCTCGAAGGCCGTGTAATGAAACTTCTAATGGCTTCTGCATATTGTGCATTCATGTTATCTATTCAGCGACATAAAAATAAATCGCCTCCCCTCCCTCTCTAGCTGGGAAGATCCTATTGCGATTGCTGTCCTTAAGATAAACAGCCTACATTCTAAGTAGACATGTCATCTTCTTTCACTGCGTAAACTTCTAGTCCCATGACTAGTGTGGACCATAGATTGTAACTTGTCACATTTCTATTTTGGAGGCTCGAAAACCACCGCCTTTAGCCTCAGAAGTCTGAAAGCGTAGCTTGTTAGCACAAGAAATTCTTTTCAATGTCACCTCAGCTGGGGGGCGAGAGCTGTTAACCACGGCTTGGACACTTGCAGTGATCTTGGCCTTGACGTAACCATTGGGAATTATGGAATTACAAGTAAGCGAACGAACAAAGCAAGCATTCTTTGATTAAGCTACTAATCATAATCATAATTTATAAATTAATGATTATTATATAAACGTATTTTCTTACTTATACATCTTTTTCAGAAAGGAATGAAAGATACCCTGTTTTCAGAGCTGATGCCCTGTCACTCCATTCACTGATTGGTTCTCGTCAACAATAGGTTCTGTCGCACTTTCAGAATGGAAGAAATAAACTAGAAGGGTTCGGTAGAATCACGAGAGAAATGATTAGGCGGTATTTTGCTTAATTTTGGTAAGTTCCCTCGCACGCCACACTCACACAAACTTCGAGGTGCAAGTCACTCCATTGAAATCTCGTACAACTTTGGTGGAAATTCTATTGTTTTATCCTTTGAAATCCTTTGTTTTGGTTGCAACCCTAAACACTCTGTTATTATAAAAACTAGTAAATTTAAATTTAAGGCTGACTGTTCTCATTTTTTTCGAAAATCTGAGGCTGGATTGTTCACAATTTGTTTTTAATTCGATAGGGTGTAAGCAGTGCGATTGCTAGCTTTCTCGCTCTAAAGAGGTGTTCAGGTCTTATTCGCCAACAAAGTGAATGAGATAACCTTCATTTGCCGATAAGTTTGAATATTCACCGAAAAAGCACCCACATATGTCTAAAAACCCTCGTTTTTGAGAAAAAACGTTGCTGAAAATTTCATTTTACACTAGCTCAGCCTCAGCTTGTTTTTAATGTTTTCTTCCATTTTGACCAATTTTGAGGCTTGTGTCTTTGTGAAATTGCTCTTATAAAAATAAGTTTAAGTTATTTGCAAAAGTCGCCCCTCGACAAGCTTTTATTGAAGGGCCAATGAGTCGTATCCACTGTTTCTTGCCTTAGGCCATAGTTACAGCGTCATTGCTCTCAAGCCATTCTGTAATTCACCTAAATGTGAACTTAGGTGCTCCTCTGAATTAGCTCTGTGCCTATTTGCTCGCCATTGATAAAAGATAACGCAGTAAACATGAATTTAATGCACTGACCTCCTTGCATTTTAGTCTGTCACGTTCACTACACGTTGACTGTTAGCAAGGAAATAACTTAGTTGCAATGCACGATGCATCTTTTCACTGCCTTCTGCAAACAGTTAAGAAGATATCGTCAAAAGCTATCTTTAGTTACAGGAAGCCAAACAGACAAAAAAATCAAACATGGAGTCTCTGTTTGCATCCGTTGATAATGGAACCGAATATCAATTGCCACTGCCATAAAAGTTTAGAAAACTTAAAAAATATGATGTATTTTACTTCGAAACGTAACTATTGCCAACAGCAAACGTCAGTGCATGGGAGAGAAGGTCCTGCGAAGGGGATAGAAGTTGTAGCTGTCCCAAACATCTTGCAAAATTTTTACATTTCTCCTATCGTCCTTTTTCTCTAAGGCATCACATTTCGGAACGCCCTGCGAACTCAGTCCGCAAATTATTGCAACCAGTCGGTGAACCATTGGTCTACACAGTCTGCAAATTCGATACCAAACCCCCTTCCCATTTGCTACAGTTACCAACGGTCAGAATTCCTGCTATCGACAATGGCCTCCTTCCGGAAGGTTGCTATTTCAATTCCGCTTTTTAAAGCTAGGAGTCCTAAACTTTCAAGTTTACTTTTACCCGAAATATTGTTGTAACATAAAGAATTGCACAGCCACCAGCTTAAATGTCATTGTCGTGACGTTGGCCTGTCGTCGACCAAAATATTCGTCAAGTCATCTTCTAACCCAACTCTTTAAACCCTTGAACTTTTCAACAGCAATGAAACTTGCCAGGACAACTTTTCGGATAGAAGCTTGAGTCCATTTAGGTGAAAAAAAAGCTATACAGCTTAATTTTACTAAATTTTCTGCTTTTTATTCTCCATGCCTGTCTTTGAGTCTTGCTGCTATGTCACAAGCACTGGGCCGTTGGAGACAATCAAAATATGCTCCAAACTTTATAAGGGAAGGGACTGGTGAAATACTCAAAATTGATACTATACATCAAAACATATAGACCTGAACAATGGCCTAGCAACCTGAACAAGCGTGAAGTCAGTATGTTCTATTGGCTTCCAAATATGTTATCGCTGTACAGATGGCAATCCTAAATAGTCGTTGATTGAAATGAAATCCAGTTTTCTTTGCTCCCTTACATGTTTTCCTGAAAATTTTTGCCATATAAAGCATTTCTGACCGTCTTTTAGGAAAGTGATGGTGTAAGTTTGATTTGCATAGCAGGAGATCGAGAAACGAGTCAAACACCGATAAAATGATATATTTAAAGAAAGTCCTGATCATCATTTCGTTTTTAAACCTTATTTTTATAATATTTATTTATCGGCACTATTTCGACAGATCTGGGAACATTGGTAATAAACGAAGATCATAACATTATTTCAAGATGAGCACGATAAGTGCAAAGGGTATAAAACCAAAGAATGATGGGTTCTTCCAGCCCAACTGTGATATTGCAGATCTGGTTGCAAAAGGGTTTTTTCCGCGTAATACTTTATCGCGACAATGGAATGAGTACATTACCAAGCATCGGACATGATTTCTGGTGGGACGTAAACAATTTGCTTTTAAATTATCTATATCTTTAAGCATGTTTGATGAAACTGGCAGAAACACAATAACAGTGACAAGCTTTAGCAATTTCAGCGTTATTCAGAGACAAGAATAGCTCGAACGCAGGATGCTATTACACGGGATTTCACGATGACGCTTGCGCTTAATACGGCACCGCAGCCCTTGAATGTTATTGAAAATCAATTTAAGGAGACCGCATGAAACTCATGTATCTGATCAAAATCCAATTACATTAACGACCGTTTATGGTATCCCCATTTGGGCATTTGTGACATTGGAACACTTAGCAATGTTTGTAAACGAACCAGAATCTGTGACAAGTTTGAATACCTATGTCGATTTAAGCCACAGTGTTTACATGCCACTTAAACTATCATCTGTGCGTAGTACTTACATTTTTCGAGTTTGTTTACCATCGGCCTTCACCATTAATGATATCCACATTAGGGTAGTCATCAGACCTAGATAAATCGAACGAAAATAGCGTTTACTCATCTGGGCAGAATTGGTTGTAACAAGACACCAAAACCTGGAGCTGTACCGACACGGACGGAGAACGCTGCATTAACTTCGTCTGTCTGGTTTCTACAAAAGCATCCAAATTCTGACAAGGCTATGACAGCTAAATAGCAATTTATTTAGGCTGAATCAATTTCACTTATATCCACAGCTTTCGCTCCTACTACTGGGCAATTAATTATGAATTGTGGTAAGATTCTGACCAAATAATAGTAATTTTGTGTTGAGATCGAATTAAATGGGCTGGCCCTAGCTACCAATATAATGACACGACCTAAATTTGGTATCTAAACCTCCCTAGAATTGATTGTTTATTTCAACAAAACGGAAAACGAATTATCAACATTCTTTAAAACCGCTAAAATTCCTGCACTGGCTTTGACAGATAACGAAGAGTGCCCAGCAAGCCCAATATGTCATAAGGTTCGTCGCTAGATTACGAACGTGTTCCTCATTTCAGCAATCTTTCTCAAAAACTTCAGCTGTTATACCAAATCTTTCAAGAGAAAATAAGAAGTCCACGATGAGTTTTCCTGTGCTGATTCCCAACTAAACATACACTTGAAATCAAAACAAAACAAGAACATACTTATAAGAAGCTCACCATAAAACGAGCATCCAGCCATGAGTATGAAGTGAAGCAAGTGGCTAGCTGTTTGTAATTTGAAACGCTCAACTGTGGATTGTTCTCTTGGTTTGCCTCAGTCCTAAATTCACATAGCTCTGTAAACAAACTTTGGCTACCTTTCGTTTTCAAACAACCGCTAAAATGACAGTGAGAGCAGAAACGCGTCGCATAAGTACACGAGCGGAAGCCTTTTGAAACAGGATTAGCAGCGGCAATTACGACAGTCTCGTTTCACACGAATAAAGGTCCGAGTGTCATTGTGGGTGCTGCTGTCTTCTCGCAATCTGCATGGGCCGATTGATTCCAACTGCGGACCAGAGCCGATAACGAGGATTTATTCTATTGTCTCTCTCCAGCGCACAATTCACCTGATTTCCATTGAAATTAAAACCCGCGTCCGGAGATCGGCCTGACAGAACCTTTCCTTCTCTTTAAATAAAATGTTTCCAGGAAAGGATGCACGTGGTTTCAAACATTCATTTTTCGGACAAAAAGTTCATATCGGATAAAGGTCCCTGTAAACCACATATTCCACATATCTCAGAAATCCGCTCTGTTCTTTTAATACGAGATTCAAATTTTCAAAGACATCTCTTTTTTACTGACATTCTGGTGAGGCTGGGCTTGTTCTAAGCGGACCTCGAAGCTCTTATGAAATGTTTTTTTAAAAAGGGGCTACAACCTTCTCATCTCTCAGGCAAGAAAAGTTTTGTAGCAAAAGAATCACCATGGAGATGAAAAAACATATATTTCAATTAAGAGGAAACAGGCATACGAGGTAGGGGCCGGGGGCTGTAGCTGGTAGGCGCTGAAAATAATGCCGATATTTGAACAACGTTTTTGAGGCTCAAAATGCCATCACCACCAATTTTGATCGTTCTTGTAGACCCCCTTATTCATTCTTTGAGTTTTTCATTTGAAGAACATTGCAAAACTAGACGTTATTTTTAATTTGCACCCTGTGAGCTTGAAAGATTTTCATACAATCTATAGGCGAGAAGCGCAACATCTGCTCCCAAGTAGGAAGAATCTGGCACAGATTTTTGAAAAGTTTTACAAAATTCAGAGATTTTGATTTCATGTCCAGGATAATAAAGGCAAAGTCACAAAAAATCAAAGTCACAAAAGACACAAAATTACTGAAGTCAGAAATGCGTTTGCCGTTCTTCAATTATTCCTAGCATACATTTTTCTATTATTTCAAAGCATATTGTGACAAAATTCACATCAATGCCTTTGAGGTTAACTTTTGCTTCAACAATGAAAATTATAAAAGCCCAAAATGGAAGCTAATCAATTTTCCAGCTGCAATATTTATTAGATAACCCAATCCCTCTAAGATAAACATTACGTTGGGTTTACTGAACATATGAGATGCGGTTTTTGAGCAGACCTGTGTTTAATAATTATTGGGATTATCTTTCGAGCGAAGTTCAGCTAGTGGTGGCAAGTGAAATATTTTGGAGGCTGTGACAGTTAGGAAACGTTATGATAAAACCTTCCTTCGCCATAAACACAATTTCCACGCATTTGCCAAATTATTTTACAGGTTTTTCTCTTTGTTGCAATATTTTAGCATTACCTTACATAAGGTGGAGGGGTTCAAATTTTAGGGCGGAGGGGGCATACCCAACCCAGCCCCTAAAAGAATCCTTACATTGGTTATTTCCAAATTTGATGTCGCTTGCAAGGTTATCTTTACAGGAACATTTTCCATATTTAGTAGCATCAGTGTATTTTTATTATGCTGTAAATTGTTTATTGTTTTTGTGTAATGTTTTTTTCAGTAAATTTTGCTAAGGCTTGCTTTCTCGATTAATTTCCTAAGTTGAATTCAATGCCCATCTGGATTTTGATCGAATCCAGAAAAATTGGCATTGTAGTTGCACTTTAACAGCTGCTAGGAGTACTTGATAATCTGCTTGTAAAATAATAAAGGAGCAAGGGGTATAGCATTTTACAATGTATAAATATCATCGATTTGCAGTGAAAGCAGCCTGCAGTACACACTATTAGGATCCAAACTACTTTCCGCTCTAGGGAGGGGAGGTTCCATTGATTTGAAATAACTTTCACGACACTTTCACTTCCTTAGACAAAATTTATGCTTATTATTTCAGAGTGTCCATTGCCTTGAGTTGTCCATAATTTAGAGGTATACCTTATTTGAATATATGAGTCATTAAAAGGCATCCTTTATTCAAAACATTTGTTATTGGGGGTTATCCATTATTAGGAGATGTACCTTTTAGCAAGGTATTTGATATTGTAAGATACCCGCTATTTAGTGATGTCTGTTATTGTAAGGTACCTGTTATTAGGAGCTATCTGGTAGTGATATCTAAATATAAGTTTTTTGCTATTGGAGGTGTTCGTTATCACGAGATGACCATTATTGTAAAATATTTGTCATCGGACGGTGTCAATTGTTGTAAAATAAAGTGCGGCATGTGTTACATTAATCAAGTAATGTAAAATGGTTTTACCTTGCTTTAAAAAACTGGCAAACTTTTCTGCCAGAAAGTCTTCCATGAAATATCTAACCTAGTTTGTTTTTCAGAAACAACTAGTATATCGCTTAATGCCCATTTAAGATGACGTCGAAAATTAGTGGTTGGTATTAGAATTAGCGGAGTTTTTTGACGCTTTATGATTTGAAAAACAGATACAAAAATAAGGCTCCTCTCGTTACTACAGATAGAGGTCATAATAAATTTACCAAAAAAGGAAATATAATCTATCTTCCTTATCAAAATAGGAAATTTTTATGAATTTAACATTAAACTTAAAGATATAAAGTAATTGTGTTGGCAGGATTGCGATAAAAGTTCATGTAAAGTTTAAATCTGGATTATTAGTATATGAGTATTAGTGGTTTGAAATAAATATTATTTATATTGATGAATGTGTTTTTATTTTAAAAAACAGAATTTTCTGGTAATGCAATCATAGACGGATCAAAATAATTGACAGAAAAAGAAATAAAAATTTCGAAGACTTTTACTTTTGATACAAACATATTTCAAGCTAAAGTATTTATGAACAGATACTAAACAGTTTGTACTTGAATATTGATGTCGGTTTATGTCGGTTTATGCTTCGAGTTAAAAAGGATATTGTCAGAGCCCGGCAGTAGTACAAGAAGTCAGCAAAATTTTGTACAAAAGAAATGAATAGTAACTAACGCTAAAACCCTTTTCACTCCAAATGTTTCAAAATATTTAATTTTTCCTTTCTACGCGTATAAAAAATATCGAATAATAACAATTTATTTTCGAAAAACAGACTCAGTTCGTTGAGTTTTGCTATGAACTTTGCTGTAAATTTTCTAGGCCTTCGTTAAAAATTCTCTTTTCATAGAAAACGTGAGTAATTTCCACAAGAGATAACAAAATGAGAGCATTGATCCAAAACATATGGGATATAGAGAGAGGTTAGCTAGATGATGCAATATGCTGCCCACTCTCAAATTAGCCATCCCCCCAGGCGCTTATAGATTTAGGGACCTTTTACATGGTCACTAGTATCAAGGGGGTCTTACTTGAGAGGGGGGACTATACAACAAACCTACAAGTTGTCATACAAATAGGTTAATGATACTTAAAAATGGCTTTGAAAAAGGCAAACATTTGAGTATACTAAAGCTTTTTATCTAACAATCTTCAGAGTATAAAACGTCAGAACATAGATCGAAAACTCTACGTTATATAAACAAAGTTATGAATCGAAATAGGTCAATCAGAAAAGCGAGTACATGACTGTTGAGGTTGCAGTGCCGCTTGTCTTTTGAGAATGTTACCAATGGGGTCCGTAAGTGAAAACAAACTCCTTCTGTCTACGCAATAGTGGTTTTTTCATGCCTATGTAGATAGATTCCAAAACTGCTAGATGGAACGACGATCGAGCTTTACCAATAATCCGAAACATGTCGCCATTATTTTTTTGCACAAATATATAGTTTATAATTTTTTGCAAAAATGTATAGTTTTTAATTTTTTGCATAAATATAAAGTTTATAGTTTTTTGCACAAATAGGTTGTTTTGTAGTTTTTTCAAGATATCAAAGAAAAATTTAAACCAAAGAACAAAAGTTATTTTCATTGCCTTGGTGGTTTTTTGTCAATGCTTCCTTTTTTTGTTAAATGTACTAAAATGGTGTATCATTCTGTCGCATCTCGATTCAATCCTCGTGGAGGCTTGATGATTAGTATACTAACGATTAAATACAAAACATTGACATTTTAAAGTAGAGGATTACTTGAGGGTTGAGGAATATTAAAAACTTTTATCTCCAGGGTGGGGGCTTATGCGAGAGGGACTATTTGAGTGAGCCAACTTGAGCATTTACACTGAAAGAAATTTCGCTTTTAATTTGAGGATAGGACGAATAAAAATTCCAACAACATTACTTTTAATACTTTCATGAGACAATCATGCAGTGAGCAATTGAATGTAAGTTTTGTGGATAGAAAATAGCATTTGCATATAAAATAAATTTTGAGTTTATGAGAGGTTTCAGAAAAGATGGAACAAATTGTTTTAATGAATCGTGTTGTTGCATGTTTTAATGAATTTTTAATAACCTTAGATAATATACCTTTAGCAAAGTTTTCTGCTGAATAATGTACTTCCATTTAATGAAGCAAGTGATATTTTACATTCAATGTTTTTTTGCATTCGCAAAATACTGCCGTTGTTGCTGTTTATTTTGTGTTGGCTTTATTGTTGTTCCTGCTTACGTTTCTTGTTGTTGTTGCTGTATCTCAATTTTCGCACTATTTGCAACAACGGACAATGAAGCCAAGTGTTTTAGTTTCTTTTTATCTTGCGTTCTTATCCGAGTTTTTTATCATTTTTACCATGACATCACGTTTATTTCATTTAGCTAATTTCATTCATCTAATCCAAGATTTTCCTTTCATACAGTCAACTGTTAGTCCTTCTGTGTTATTTTTGGCCTAACGATCAATCATGGCAACTGCTGAATATAGGGGGGAGGGGGCGCATAAAGCAAGGAGCAAGGTTGTTGGTGAAAGATTTGAATTTGATTTGGAATGAGGAGAACGACAATTTCTGAGGAATGAAAATAGCTGGAGGGTTATTATTAAGGATGAATCGCAGCTTTACGACTACCAATTGGCAAGCTAAATAATTGAATACCCGGAAAGAGCAAAACTTGCATGGGGTCACTGCTGCACAAATGTGCCCCAAAAAGGGTGCTTTAGAAAAAAATTACAATGGTTATCTTTTTGTCGGAATCGGTCTAAAGCCTTCTCGGGGGTAGGCTAAGAAAATTTCAAATTTTTATCTTATATCATAAGTTAATTTGA